GTATGATCCCATTCCCATGGTATGGTATGATTCCATGCTCATGGTATGATTCCATTTCCATGGTATGGTATGATTCCACCCCCATGGTATGATTCCATTTCCATGGTATGGTATGATTCCACCCCCATGGTATGATTCCATTTCCATGGTATGGTATGATTCCACCCCCATGGTATGATTCCATGCCCATGGTATGGTATGGTTCCATACTCATGGTATGATTCCATCTCTATTGTATGATTCTGAAGACATGTGGGATAAGGAATTGGCAATCTGTTCCAAGAGCATCTCCCAAGTTGCTCCCTCATAGGTGAATGTCCATAGCATTTGTTCATATTGCTGTCAATGTCATGGACTTCTTCACCATCCCTGATTAATTGTATGAAAGACAGAATTTTGATTTAAATTAGAATAGCTATATTTAATAATGATACCTTGAAGCTTGTAATTAGAAGTCTTGGCCTGCTTGTGTTCAAATGTTCAAATCAAAATTCCCCACAATGCCAGCTCTGCTGAGTGGCAGATATGAGGAGATTCCAAATCCAAGTTTTTTGATGATCCCATTCCTATGGAATGACCCCATACTTTTTCATAAATGACAAATTTTGAACATATTCTATCTGAAGAAGGCATCCTTGCTTTGGGTAGTAATTTGGCTAAAGTTCATGCCTTTGCAATAAATAAAGTCTTGCAAAATTCTTGTTTTCCTTCAGAGGCCATGCCATTGTGATGGATACAACATTAATTTATTTGTCATGAATATAAATGGCCTGGCAAGATATACACTTTTAAGTGGCTTGTGATGGATTATCCACAGTGAAAATGGCCAAACCCTGGGATAAAGCCCAATCAAGCTAATTTTCAAGTGAATTTTCAAAAGATCAAGTTCACCCTATAGCCTCCACTTGTAGCTTAAAATGTCAGAAGAAATCTGAAGAACCAGTCCACAAAAAATGGAGCCCAATGGATCAGTATTACAGCCTGGAGAAATAATTTTCATATTTTGTAAAAAGGACCCCAGACACCCTGTGACAGCTATGGAATGATGGTATGGTATGGTATGGTATGGTATGGTATGGAATGGTATGGAATGGTATGGAATGGTATGGTATGGTATGAGGTGGAATGGTATGGTATGAGGTGGAATGGTATGTGGCATCCATACCATGGTATGATGGAATTGGTATGAGGGTCATACCACTCTGGAATGGGGTACCACTAAGGTTCCCTAATTCAAAGAATTGGATAACCTCATAGGTACCCAAAAATGGGTGACTGAAGTGTGTCGCTAACT